TCACCAGATTACGAGGTCTACCGCTCTTAACCCACTACACCAATTCTGGGATAGTCCACAACCACCCAAAGGAGTCCAGTCCACTGCCAAACAGCTCTTACAGTCAGAAAGTTTTTTCCATATGTTTAGTTGGGATCTCCTTTCTTTTAACTTGAAGGCATGGTGTACCAATGGTATTTAACTCCGGTAAAATTGGCTAAAATTTACAAATTAAAATCGAATACCTGTTGGAGATGTAAAAAAGAAATAGGAACAATGTTTCACATGTGGTGGGAATGCCGACCTATTAAACAATTCTGGAATGAAATCTATGAAGAACTCAAAAAGATGTTTAAAATATTTTTTAGTAAAAAACCGGAGGCATTCCTTTTAGGTTTAATTACAAATGATATCCCTGAAAATCAAAGGAAAGTATTCCTTTATGCAACAACAGCTGCCAGGATGCTTATAGCTAAAAACTGGAAAGGCAGAAAAATTCCATCAGTGAAAGATTGGCAAATTAAATTTTGTGAATACATAAATCTGGCAAGACTCACAGCTTACATAAGGGGACAATCGGACCAGAAATTATTAAAAGAATGGGGTTGTGGCTAAAGACTATATGAAAAAACATTGTTCTGGAGTTAGTATATTGGTATGTAATGAATGATGCTTTACAGGGTTAAAGAATAATAAGAAGAAGAGTTTGGATTTGATATCCCGCTTTATCACTACCCTAGGGAGTCTCAAAGCGGCTAACATTCTCCTTTCCCTTCCTCCCCACAACAAACACTCTGTGAGGTGAGTGGGGCTGAGAGACTTCAGAGAAGTGTGACTGGCCCAAGGTCACCCAGCAGCTGCATGTGGAGGAGCGGAGACACGAACCCGGTTCCCCAGATTACGAGTCTATTGCTCTTAACCACTATACCACACTGTGTAAAGATGGAAGTAATCTAATTAGACACAACAATACAGTAAGAGTAAATTTTTTGAGGTCTTAGAACAAAGGAAGGAAGTAAATTTGTGTTTATGTACGTAATGATATGGTTTTGTTCTGTAGATGTGTGCTTTTTGTTTTTGTTTAGTTTAGTTTCGTTTCCTTTGCTCCCCCCCCCCCCTTTTTCCTTTTCTGTTTTTTTCCCTATATGTTCCCAGGATTCTTGTCTGGATAGTATTATTTTGGATTCAATGTTTGTAATTTTTGTTATGATTCTGCATTGAAAATAAAAAAAACTCAAAAAAAACCTTGAAGGCATTGGCTCAAATCCTACCCTCCAGAGCAGGAGAAAACAAACATGTTCCCTCTTCTGTGTGACAGCCCTTGAGATAGTTGAAGGTGGCTATTATATCTCCTCCCAGTCTCTACTTTTTCAGGCTAAACATACCTAGCATATGACGTTGGAAGATTCAGGACATAGCAGCACATTGAGCGGTGGGATTTCCTCCCACAAGAGATGGCCACCCATTTGGATGGCTTAGAAAAAGGTTAGACAAATTCGCAAAAGGATAAATCAGTGCCACTAGTGACTGTGGTTATCCTACCTCCACTTTCAGAGCCTGTGTGCCTCCAAATGCCCTTTGCTGGAAATAGCAAATACAAGAGGGCTATTGCAAATATGAGAGTGTCGTTTCTGCTTGCAGGTTTCGCATAGGTGTCAGGTTGGCCACTGGACAAGATGGACCTCTGACCTGATCCAGAAGTCTCTTCTGCTCCTATGTAAGGCTATGGCAGCTTGCTGTTTTGCAGTTCTGCCCTACATTTATTGACTGTTAACAGATCTGTTGGGTGCCATATGTATTGTGAATTCTTTCTGCAACTCTTTGCTTAACAGTGAAAAAGCTTTTTATTTAATTGCCAGATCTGACAATCCAAACAAGAGTTTCAATGTCATGCTGATCCTTTTCCTGCCTTCTGCCTCATATAAATCATCAGTATTATGCAGTTCGGTTTGTGGATGCTTTTAAAACAATGTACATGGCTAAACAAGCTGCATTAATAATGAAGCTGCTGTAGATTAAAAAAAAAAACATGTCAGGATTGGGGGGGGGAAATCTCCGTGGTTTGAAGTGAGTTTGCAAACCATGGCTTGGAGGTTTGCGCTAACTTCAGAAACCTGATTTTGAAGTCACAGGAAACTATGGTCACAGAAACAGGAGGGTGGAATTTGAGAAAGAGGTGGGAGGTAAAGGATGCATGCGATTCTCCAAACAATGGTCTGTAGAAGGGCCTCTGAAGTGAACCAGAGAGGGAGAGAGCAAGAACAGAATAAAGAATGTGTATTGATGCCAGAGGCCTTCATAACAGAGGTCATATGCTTCAGTAAGTCCCCTGAGTGCTAGCATTGTCACTGTAGCAACCTGTAGACACTGCCCTATGAAGCACAGGCATGCCTTATTGGACTTTTCCGTGGCCCTTGTGCATCTTCATCCCCAACCAGGGACAGCAGTAACTGATGGTACCTTTTTGCATGCAGTGACTGTTGCCTGCTTCACACTAAACGGCATCCCTCAGTGCTCATGCACCGTGACATGTGAGGAAATAAGCATCATCCTTTGTCACAGGCTTTGTCTCATCAGTGCTTATTTGTCCCTAGATCCTGCAGCTAGAATAGCTCACAGCTCACATAAATCATTGTAGAGTTGGAAGAGACCCCGAGGGTCATCTAGTCCAACCCCCTGCAATGCAGGAATCTCAGCTAAAGCATCCATGACAGATGGCCATCCAACCTTTGCTTAAAAACCTCCAAGGAAGGAGAGTTTGCAACCTCCTGGAGCAGACCGTTCCACTGTCGAAAAGCTCTTACTGTCAGAAAGTTTTCCCTGATGTTTAGTCGGAATCTCCTTTCTTGTCAATTGAAGCCAACAAATTCACCTAAGCCCCGCTCACACAGCTTTTGTGGTTAGGAAAGTGATGTGAAAATGCACCAGAAAGTGTGTCGGTGAGCTAACGGTTAACAGGAAGACATATGATCACCTAGCAGAACAAAAGCTCAACAGACATTGTCTAACCTCCGCAGAAGCATTGTGCAAGTAAGTCAGGCCGAATGCTTCAAAAGCAAGTCATCTGAGGGAGCCCAGAGTGAGGTTAATAAAGGCTATTGCCCTTCCTCATCCTCATCCTCATCCGCCCTGCCTTTTTGTCTAGAATGGGTAACTTCATGATAAGGTTTTGCCTACAAATGAGAAGACCTGAGTTCAAATCCTTTTTCAGCCATGAAGCTCACAGGGCTGGTGTTGTGTGAATAAAAGGAATGTGAGTCACATTTACATCAGTCTGAGCTCCTTGAATGGGAAGGATGAGCTATCAGAGCAATAAACATATGATTTTAAATCATCCCTATTGTGCACTTGCTGTTGCCTGATTCTATACTAATGTGCTTTGAGGGAAGTTTAGCTGGCTTAATGGGATGTGCTCCTTGCAGCACATGGCAAGAAGCACAACTGACCTCAGTGGGATTTATTTTCTAGTAAACATGAAGAGAACCAGGCTGCACATCCCATAAGGGGTGGGTACACATGTACCAGCAGGTACCTGAGCCTGCCCTCCAGTGGGTTGGACTAGATGACCCTCACAGTCCCTTCCAGCTCTACAGTTCTATGATTCTAGGCTGCATCAACAGAAGTCAAGGGAAATAACAGACCATTGGTCAGGCCACAACTGGAGTACTGTGTCCAGTTCTGTGCACCACAATTTAAAAAGGATATTGACAAGCTGGAACGTGTGCAGAGGAGGACGACCAGGATAATCAAGGGTGTGGAAACCAAGCCTTATGAGGAATGGTTGAGGGAGCTGGACATGTTTAGCCTGGGGAAAGGGAGATCAAGAATTGATATGATAGACATGTCAAATACAGTGGTACCTCGGGTTAAGAACTTAATTCGTTCTGGAGGTCATTCTTAACCTGGAACTGTTCTTAACCTGAAGCGGCACTGTAGCTAATGGGGCCTCCTGCTGCCGCAGCACGATTTCTGTTCTCATCCTGAAGCAAAGTTCTTAACCCGAGGTACTATTTCTGGGTTAGCGGAGTCTGTAACCTGAAGCGTCTGTAACCTGAAGCGTCTGTAACCTGAAGCGTCTGTAACCTGAGGTACCATTGTAGCTAAACAGGGAAGATGGGGAGCAAGTTTGCTTTCTCCTGCTCCGGAGGCCAGGACCCCAACCAATGGATTCAAGTTACAAGTGGGAAGAATTATATATAAATTCAATAAACAACAACAAGAGGGAAGATTCCTAGTCCATCTCGGGAAGAACTTTCTGACAGTAAAGCTCCGAAGGTGATGGACCCTCCTCCCTTGGAGATGTCTAAGCAGAAATCGGATGGCCACCTGTCGTGTACAACCTGGCTGAGATGCCTGCCTCGCAGGGGGTTGGACTAGATGACCCTCGGGACCCCTCTACAAGTCTGTGACAGCAAGGAAAGCGTGATGCAAACTGGAGAAAGAGAAGCGTGGTCCAGAATGCAGAAAGACAAGCGTGATCCAGAATGCAGAAAGACGAGCTTGATCCAGAATGTGATCCACAGCGGCGGAGGCAGCAGCAGCCGTGGGCTCCAGTGGCGTAGCGTGGGGGGTGCAGGGGGGGGGCGGCCGCACCGAGCGCAACATCTTGGGGGTTAGGGTTAGGGGGCGCAAATCCACGGGTTAGGGGGCGCAAATTACTTGCTTTGCCCCGGGTGCTGACAACCCACGCTACGCCACTGGTGGGCTCGTCCTCCCGCCCTCCGCTTCGGCGGGGGCTCCTCCGGCGGCGCGGCGTGGGGCTGCACATGGCTCCCCTTCCACTACTACGGCGGCACATGCTTCTTCCGCGCCAGGCGCCCGGGCTCCTCCTCCCCGCAGCTTCGGCGGCTCCACGCGTTACGCGCCGGCTCACTCCCCGCTCGGCACGCCTCGCCCGGTGGACGCGGGGAGAAGGCGCGGAGCATCAGTTTTCCGGCCCGTAGAGAGAGCTATCCCTAACTTGCAGCGGGGCGCGTGTGTGTGTGGAGGAGAAGCGAGGAGGAGGGCAGAGGAGGAGGAGGAGGAGGAGGAAGGCGGGGGAGGCGGGCAGCCTTTTTGGGGGAGGCGGCGAGGAGCTCCCCCACTTGCGAATAAGACCCGCGCCGCGCCGCCGGAGGAGACTTCCTTCGCCGGGCAGGAATGGCCAAGCCGGAGCACGTGAAATAAACAAGCGGCTCCCGGAGGCTTTTCCGTCCGAGAGGCCAACATGATTCCGCCCAGCGACGCGACACAAGTCAGCCCGGAGGACGTGGAGAAGGAGCGCGACCCGGAGAGCCCCGAGCAGCCGCCTTCGCCTGCCTCCACCACCAGCCAGGAATCCAAGGTCGGTCCCGCTCGCTCCCATCCGTGGATCCCTATTCGGAGAGGGGATCGATCTCTCTCCACGGCCAGGCGCGCTTACGTGCCCGTCCTCCTTTTGCGCCTGCAAAAATGTCTTTGAGGTGGGATCTCGCCATTCACCTGGCGGAGGTGGGAAAGAACGGGGGACGGGGGGGGGTACCTGGCTGGCTTTAGGAATTAGTTTGCTTATTGCATTTATTTTCTGGAGGGAGAGGTTTCGAAGCACTCTGCAGACCATTCCTCTGTTTGGCACTCCGGTTGCTCTGGCATCACGTGTTGATCCTCATGAAATAGACTGTGACAGATTTATTATAGGAAAGTTGCCTGTGTGTGTGTATGTTAAAAAATGTCTTTCCAGGAACTTTGCCATTCAGCTGATAAATAGGTCAGTAGCTGAAGTCTAGCTGAAGAGCTGCTATTGTAGGGGAAGAACTGCCATCCATAATAATAGTAGTAATTTTATTATCTGGTACCCCACCCATCTGAGTGGGTTGCCCCAGCCACTCTGGACGGCTTCCAACATATATAAAGAGCATGATAAACAGGACCACCCCCCTCTTGCCTCCCCAAAAATCATATTTTATTGGCCTGGTTTGGCTTACCTGATTGAGGGAAATGATGCTTCTGTTCTGCATTCCGTCCCTCAAAATTAAGTGATATAATAGGTGATATAATATAAGTGATATAAGTGATATAATCTGAGTGGATCACCTGAATTAGAAACAAAGATCTGTAAGTGAGCAGAAGGGAGAGCAGAACGATGCTCTTCTGTTTAACAGGAGCATGACGTAAGGGGCAGGAGTTACCTAAAACAACTTGTTAGCTATTAGTGTTTCTGCTGATAAACACAACTTCTCATAGACCTTGTGCCCTGGTATTTAACAGAAGACCCACCCGCACATTTGCCATAGCAGATTTTAGTGATGTGTCGTGCCACAATTCTCTGGCACGCCCTTTGAAAAGGATTGCAGCATCTTCCGAAATGAGCACCTTGCCATTTTACAGTCACCCCCTCCTGTTGCAAGTGGAATAGATTTGGAACGCTCCTCCAGAATAGTATTACTATTAGTAGGGTAAAATGGATGATAGCTGCCTTGACAGGCCTTGGGCATCCTCGTGAAAGTTGATATGATCCTAACTGGCACTTCAAAGGTGGTACTCAGCAGGATGGAAGTTTGTGCTTTGAATGAGGAGGTCATGTGGACAAATGGTCTTGCCACCATGCCGTCAAAGGGGGATTGTGGCATTGCTGTGGCTACAGCACCGTACAGTCTTGATTATAGCTATTGATGTGTTACTTCCTTCCAAATCTATGGGAGATATATATGAGTCAGTGGTAATTGATGACGGGATTGCAGCCTAAACTCAGGAAATATAAATAGGGTTTCATTTTCTCCTTAACTTTTTATAGTAACCAACTATGACAGGCATGTCCAAAGTCTGTTTCGGGGGCCTAATTCGGCCCGCTGGTCAGTTTAATCTGGCCCCTGTGGCAGTTTTTTTCCTGGGGTAAAATCCTTAAAAAACCTCAACAACTTCAATCCTAAAAGAAGCTCAACAACTTTGGGGTAAAATAATAAATTAAAAGCTCAAGAACTTCAAGAACTTCAATCCTAAAAAAAGGTCAACAACTTGGTCCAACTTGGTCGGCCCCCACGGCCCTTCACTTCATCAAATCTGGACCTCTTTGAAAAAAGTTTGGACACCACTGAACTATGATTTGATGTGGAGGGGTGTATGCACTTTGGGCACAAAGCAAAATATTTTAGATCATAGATCTAAATAGGATTGTAGAGTTGAAAGGTTCCCTGAGGATCATCTAGCCCAACCCCTCTGCAATGCGGGAATATGCAGCTGTCCCATACAGGGATCGAACCTGCAACCTTGGCATTATCAGAACCACACTCTAACCAACTGAGCTATCCAGGAAATATTGTGTATGAATATATTTCACACAGTGCAGAGTTCATTGTGTGTATCCACCTCTCAAAATACACACGTGGAGTGTTAAAACATAAATGTAAGCAACAGTGTGTTGTTGGTCCTTCAGGCTTTGATGCAAGGTCTCAAATGCTGGTAATTTTGCTTTCAGCCAGACACAATAGTTCTTAAAAACTCAAAAGGGCTTTTAAACATCAGGTATTGTTTAGCAGCATATTTGTGGAGTACTTTTGGTGTTTTCTTCTAATGAAGAATGTAAAATGTACTACTGGTTTTGTTGTGGTACAGCAATGTGATGCCAGTATTCCAACTAAGTTTGCTAATATTCATACAACAGTCGAAAACAAAATTAGGAGGGGTAAAATAATCTCAGATTTCAAATTTGCATTTGAAAATACACGTTTTAAAGATCTGTATTCTTATTTGGTCAGTTTTTTCATTTAGGCAAAATTAAAATGTTGGCTCCACAAATAATCAACAGTTTGAAACCAATTGCCATTGAAACCAATTTCAGTCAGTGTTACACCGTCCAATGTTAAATCTGGAAAGAAAAGATAAACTACATGGGGCATTGTTTCTTATCAGGTGGGAAACCATGGCCTTTTCTGAAATATCCATACTAGTTTTGCTTTTGGTAACTGACACATGTTGGGGTTGTACTATTAGTACACATCTGCAGCCATTGATGGCGAAGTTTTATATATGTTCATTTTATTAAAAATATTAAAGGGTGGCAGCCAGTCCCAGACTGGTGTCCTTTGATGTTATATCAATCAATCAATTTATTACGGTCATAGACCAGGCAGCCAGCACGCATGCCCCTTTTCACAGGAGAAGGCAAGCATGTTGCAAACGCTTGCGCTCCACTCTGGCCCCCTGCGCCTTCGGGCGGCCCCCTTGCTCCTCACCTGCAGAGCCTTTGATGTTATACAGCACAATAGGGGAAGGTTTCAGGAGAAGGGGAAAGGGAAAATGTGTCCTTTCTCATCATCCATCCTGAAACTTTATCCACTCCACTGTGAACCCCAGAATGCTCTCCAAAGGCCCCTGTTCTATCTTGGCCAGGGGCATTCGTGTTAGAGGGTTGGAGAACAGAAACACGCCCCCCCCATGTTTCAGATCCATGCTGGCTACTGCTTAATCTGAAATTGCTTTATACTCCCGCTTTGTAGATAAATAATTAGGGGAGGGAAGTACAGTACACTGCTCCCTCTTCCCTACCCACAAGTGTAACAGGCAGATATCATAACTGGATGTTTTGTTTCCATGGGTGCAACACTCATGTGGCAGCTTTGGTTTCTGGAGTACAGATCCCAGGTTTAAGGGCAAAGTCAGGCAGTTTTTATACTGGTGCACTATGTAAACACGACTTTTTAACATAGTGTAAGGTGGCGGCTTTTTGCAATTCGGTGGCTGCCTTTTGGCCTTAACTCTGAGACCTGCGCTCCAGGGCGGCTGCTCCTACAGGTCCTTTACACGTGTGTGTGGTCCTAGCACTGTTTCATGGAAACATGCGAAAGCAACTGTTCTTGCAGATCTTCTTACTTCCTTCTGGCCTTAGAAAGAAGGCCGGGAGAGAGCCAAGAACACAGTGGGCACTTTTTCACTTTCTGAGAAAAGTTCTTTGAAATAAATGAGGCTTATTGCCAAGTACCTGTCATTTGAGAAGGGATTGTAAGTGATCCTTGGTGCAATTATTTTCAAATTACTGTTTAATGGATAGTTGCAATTGGACACTTTTTCATAACTCTTCCCTCACTCCTGCCCCATTCAGCCTACATCATTTATAATTAGATTTTCTGGATGTCTCTTGCGGGATCTAATCCCTCGCGAAGTCTGTGGACTTCCACTGTTGCAGAGATTTGAACCTGGCCTAGTCAGGTAATCTAACCACTATACTATGCATAAGTAATGTGTGGCCTTCCAGATACGGTAGGACTACAACTATCAAACCTGACCATTGGTCACACTGAGTGGGGCTGATGGGAATTGAAGACCAGCACATCTGCAGGGCCACAGGTTCCCCATTCCTGCACTAAAAGGTAAAGGGTAAAGGACCCCTGGACAGTTAAGTCCAGCCAAAGGCAACTACGGGGTGCAGCGTTCATCTTGCTTTCAGGCCAAGGGAGCCAGCGTTTGTCCACAGACAGCTTTCCGGGTCATGTGGCCAGCATGATTAAACTGCTTCTGGCGCAACAGAACACCATGACGGAAACCAGAGCAGCGCACGGAAACGCTGTTTACCTTCCCGCTGCAATGGTACCTATTTATCTACTTGCACTTGCATGCTTTCAAACTGCTAGGTTGGCAGAAGCTGGGACAGAGCAATGGGAGCTCACACCGTCGCGGGGATTTGAACCACCAACCTTCTGATCAGCAAGTCCTAGGCTCTGTGGTTTAGACCTCTATCCCTGCTCTAAACCATAACAGAATGCCAATCAGCAGAATCACTGAATTGTAGAATTGTAGAGTTGGAAGGGCTGCGAGGGTCATTTAGTCCAACCCGTGGACTACCAACTTAGCTACCAAGTTTTTCACCAGATGAATCGCATCCAGCTGCAGGTAGAAGGTTTTAAGGTGGGTTAATACATTGATGCATTCAAACTCTAAGAGCATGCTGGCAAGAAATGTAAACTGGTCTGTCCTTTGCATTCCAGTTTTATTTTGTATAGTAAGATTTCCCGGGTGGCGCTGTGGGTAAAAGCCTCAGCACCTAGGGCTTGCAGATCGAAAGGTCGGTGGTTTGAATCCCCGCGGTGGGGTACGCTCCTGTCGCTCGGTCCCAGCGCCTGCCAACCTAGCAGTTCGAAAGCACCCCCGGGTGCAAGTAGATAAATAGGGACCGCTTACCAGCGGGAAGGTAAACGGCGTTTCCGTGTGCTGTGCTGGCTCGCCAGATGCAGCTTTGTCACGCTGGCCACGTGACCCGGAAGTGTCTGCGGACAGCGCTGGCCCCCGGCCTCTTAAGTGAGATGGGCGCACAACCCCAGAGTCTGTCAAGACTGGCCCGTACGGGCAGGGGTACCTTTACCTTTTACCTAA